GAGTAGAGAGGAGAGAGAGAGACTGTTTTAGTTATTGTTCTGCATCACATTGTGATAGTTAGGATTTCTGAATTGAACTTTTATATGTTGGTTTCGCTTTTCTGAAATTAATTTTGGTCAGAGACGAATCATGCAAACACACAATCTATTGTAATTCCTAGCCATTCAATATGAGTTGCTTGATAAGTGGTGTGCAGGTTTGTGTGTGTATCCAGTATGATACCATTAAACTTTTCTTTTTCACTTCAAGAAAACGTTCTCTATTACTCTGAGTAGATTATGTAATATGTGTTGAGTTTGATTGCTAATATTAGGTTCTGAGATCCATTCATCCTGAGAAAGACAGTGAAATATTGTTTTTTTGTGGGGCTCCTTTTATTCTTTCTTTCTAGTTGCTTCTTTTAGTTCTAATCGGAATCAATGATAAGAGACTGTAATTTTTCAGATTGATGCAGCATGTATTATTTCTTCATTTCTTTCAGGTAAAAGAAGGCCATGGAGGGCTTTCCTTTTATATGGTCCGCCTGGAACTGGAAAATCATACTTGGCAAAGGCTGTTGCGACAGAGGCAGAATCTACCTTTTTCAGGTAATCCCTTTTTTTCCTATTTGATATGATGGAATATGGTTAGGGAGAAAATGCTGAATAAAGTTTTTGCTGATAGGAGCATGATATGGATCATCTATTCATTTTATTGGGTTATACATGTCTGGAGCCAGTATTAACATTTAGTATTACTCTCATAATCATTGCTCTGACCTTTGTTGTTATTGTTGAAATTTTCCTTCTTATCATGGTGCTTTATTGGTCTATTAGAAAGGTTCAAAAAATTTGTTGTGCAGAAGTAGAGTTAAAATAATAGGCAACATTCCTCGGAGCTAATATTCCCTCTAGGGACTCTTGAGTCCTGTAATCTTTGTCATTAGCTTCCCTATTTTGAAATGGGACTCCCCACATAAGAGGTCTTGAAACAAAATCTGAAGAGCATCACTCAGGCAATAAGACATCCATTTTTGCATTCGGCTTCTACTTTATTCAGTGGCTCCATTAGTGCGTTACAGCCTTGTGAGCCACTAGACATGCAGCCCTTGTCTAGTGCTTAAACTTCTGGTGGGCTTGCATTTTCAAAGTGCTGCCATTCGTGTACGACTCTTAATGCTCAGACAAATTCTTTTCTCATATTTGCTTGGAGAGCTGCACTATAGGCTCTAGATTTTGGATCCCTTTCCTCCCTTTAACAGTTCATCATGATTTTCTCTCCTTTTACTCTCCTCCTTGTTCTTACATACTATTCTTTTTCTCCCCAAGAGTTCCCTAAAATATTGCTGAAAAGGTTGGTCTCTTGAGAATTCAACCACAATTTTATATGGGGCTCAAGAACCTAGTTAATGAGAGGGAGATAAAAGGCCATCGGTAAGAAGCCAATAGGGCTTCATTAAGAACCCATGAGATATTCCCTGATCACTTGAACAAACTTGTAATTTAAGACAATGCATCCTTTGTCACTTTCCATGTCACATAACTGGAAATTCTTATTCTGAGGATACTTACTTTGGGAATCATGTCTTTCACCGGCAACTGCCGAAAGCTATCACTATTGGTGGGGCATGGGCGGATGGGCCTATGACCTCAACCTCCTAGCATGATACTTTCACCTCACACCGCAGACTTCGTAGACTGCATCCTTTTAGTGTGGAAAAGACCTCTAGCTAGCCTAAGAGATTTACCAACTGTAGAATCACTTATTCCTCTAAATCCCACCGAAGCTTAAGATGCCACAAAAGTCCCCCTCCCCCCTTTTCCACCCCCTGCATTCTAAGCAATCTGTTAGCTAGGGACCCCCATCCATTGCTATGATGTATAATTTATATTATGTTGTTCATTTCCCACCCCCCGCATTCTAAGTAATCTGTTAGCTAGGGACCCCCATCCATTGCTATGATGTATAATTTATGTTATGTTGTTCTTTTGTGTTTCCTATACCCTGCACTATCTGAGCGACAATGGGATACACATTTTTTGACCCTGTTCTCTCAAGGTGTTGTGCATCCTGTTTCCTCTTTAATCATTCACGTAAGCCTGGTTGTTTCACAGTTAACCATTGTTTCTTTATCTTTTGAAACCAAATATTTTTCCAGAAAAATTTGCCTTCTTTTGCAGAAGTCATGATCCCCTTTTTTACCTAATTGTGCAATTATTATGATTTCATACTATTTCCAATTATGATTTTCCATGATAGAAATGTGAAGTGCTGGTGCGAGTGGATTTGATGTGATAGAATTGTTCAAAACAAGAATACTCAGTAGCTATTCAAAGAGAATTGGAAGATAATTACTGTTTTCATTTTCTGCTTATATGGGGGACAGGGAAGGAGGGAAGGGGATAAAAATAAAACATAATAACTGTGATTCATGTGATTTTCTATCAATGTCTCAATCCACACGCTCTCCTTGTTCCCTGTCCAATCCAATTGGACTAGGCTGAGTCTCCTAAGGAATCAACAGAATAAAATAGATACTTTGCGTAGTCTTGTCTCAGCCAGTTATTTTCCAAGCCAACTCGTCCCAATTTCACTCTGCAAGTTTTTAAATAAGTTTTGTCATAACTGACGGATACCCTTAGGCATGTTGGTCGCAGCACCTAACCATTCTTCTTGGCAAATGGGGCAAAACACTTTTCTTGTAGTTTTTGTCATTGTGGCTATTACCATATAAATGGGGCCAACATGCTGTAGATGATGGCACCACACCAAACACCCAATTATGTGGGCCTGGTATAAGTCGTCCTCAACCAAACACTCCCTTAATATTCATTTTGGGCTTTTTGTTTGGTACTCATGGCAATATGTGATCATTTTGGATTTTTTTTGTGGGGTACTTGTGGGAATATGTATTCACAACTTGTATAAATCTGGTGCATATTAGTCCCCTTGGTTAATGTTATGTAGTTATTGAATCATATGGCAGCAATATATAATGGCAAAAGTAGTAAGGCGGAAAGAAGGAAATATAGAATTACCCTAATAGGTACTCCCGGTTCAAAGTATGCATTCTCAATATCTACTCTCCCATTCTCGATGCAAAACTGACTTCTAAGCATTGCATATATATTGTTATTCTATTTAATAGTACTTTTGGTGTACAATTCATGTGCAGTGTCTCTTCATCAGACCTTGTTTCAAAGTGGATGGGTGAAAGTGAGAAGCTCGTTTCAAATCTTTTCCAAATGGCACGAGAAAGTGCACCGTCTATTATCTTTGTGGATGAGATAGATTCCTTGTGTGGTCAGCGTGGGGAAGGCAACGAGAGTGAAGCCTCTCGAAGGATCAAAACAGAACTTCTAGTACAAATGCAGGTATCAGTCAGGTGGTTTTGGCTGTTTTGTACTTTCAGGCAGTTTCATAGATAAGAAAATTTGTTCAAAATGGATGACTTGTTGCATCTTGCCAACAAATGAATTAAAATTACAACTAGATAAGAGAAAGGAAGTAAAGTTTATACTCAGGTTTAACCTTCGTTCTATGGCTACTCTCTGAAGTAGAGGAAGCATTTAAACTGTGGTAAACCTTGACTTATTAGTCCATAGTTCTTTGCCTATTAAGTCATCGAAAATGAAGTCATGTACCGCTGAGTCATAAATCAAAAGGATGGGGATGACATCATCTTGTAATCCTGGATACTAGGAGCTGCTCTTGACTTATTAGTCCATAGTTCTTTATCTATTAAGCCATCGACAATGCAGTCATGTACCGTTGAGTCATAAATTAAAAAAGATGGGGATGACTTCATCCTGTAATCCTGGATATTAAGAGTTCCAAGCAGCTCTGGACTGGCAAGGTTGATGAAGTGTTCCATGTTCAGAAGAAAGTGAGGATCTACAAGGAACTTCCAATATATCACACTCATGTCAGTATTTCTTAGAAATCTTGAGATCAATGTCTTTAGGTATTCTTAGGATGACATCAGATCTAGTTCCTCAGCTATCCTTAGGATGGTCTTTACGTATAGGGGATTTCTTCTAGGGTCTTTTCTACAGATTTTTATTACATTTAAGGTTTTTTAGCATTGACTTTTGAATATATAGCAGAGAAATATGAATCTTATAAATTTCCTAAAGAAGCTGCCTGGCTTTTTAGATGATGTTATTGGCTTTCTCTTGTTCTTATTGGACTATTGTCAATCTCTTTAATTCCCCTTGCTGTATCAGTATGACTTCTTGCATGTGTATAAATGTGTGAAAATTGCATTTGTTGCTCATAGGGTGATATGACATGATGAGAAGGAGTCACCAATTGAGAAGAATATCGTATTAGTAGTGGTCCTAGAGTGACATGGGAACGACATTATAGTCACGTCACGTTTTTTTGAGAAAATCATAGTCACATCATGTTATTATGAACTTTCTAGGATTGGGCAGCAGATTAAAGTTTGCTTATATGAACTTGTATGTGATGATATTTAAGAAGTGCAAAAACAACTATCTTGAAGAAGAGTCTCTGTATGAGCAAGTGGTTAGTGATAATTTTACCATGAAATGTGACATGCATGATCAATTTATCATCTATGCCTTGTCTTGTTGTGGTGCAACATGCTTGGAAGGGGACTCGAAGTCAGACCCTAGTTTTGTGTTTCGCTTGAAATTTTGATCAAGAAATCATGTAAAGGCCCTTCTTTCTGTTCTTGGTGATAGCAAGAAAAAGATTGAAAGTAAAATGAACAAAATCTCTTCTTTCTTGGATTTTCTTGTACACTGTGATTTGATATCTTCCTCATTGCGATGCAATGTTCACTTGGACTAGCCACGAATCCTGTGACATGCAGATCAGGTTCTCCTTTTCTTATGCTACGGGGTTAGCTATCCAAAAGCAAATCATTGATTTACCAGGACAGGTCTTTTACTATTTCCAATCCCTCTTGACTAGTTGTCAACTGGAAGGAAGCAGTTGCCATTCCATTTTGAGGATATGTAATTAGATGGCCTTGGATTTAAGGGTATGCTAGAGTGATGGTGGAATATATTCAAGGTGGATGATTTAACAATGTCAAAGGTAGAGGTGGAAAATTTTAAGGGTCAAGGGGAAATTAAGAATAGAACTTTGGAGTCATGGGAAGAGGGAGGGAAAATCCCTAATGAGCCTTCCCTGGTAAGATAGGAAGAGTCTGCTACTTGGTCAGCCCTGTGATGGAAGAGTACGTAAGGAGGGTGATTCTGAAGAAGGAGCACCTAGATGTGTCAATGCAAAGGTAGATCAGATGGGGTCAATGTCTAGAGTGAAGTAGCATTGGAAGGGGTACTGCATTAATACTTTTTCTGTAGAATTTTCAATGACAGGAGAGATAACCACTTCTGAAGCACCGAAGTGAGTGCGATAATAGTGCAAACTCACATTACTAGATGCGGTTATGGTGCATAAGGTTCTTCATCGGCCAGATATAGAGATCTTGGTCGAGATGCTCCATGAATATTAGGAGACGTCCATCAATGGGGGAAAGGGACATCAGAGACCTTACCTATTATTACTTTATAGTTTTATCACCAGGTTTAGCAGTTTGATGGCAGTGTATGTCTGATACTAGTCGAAGTCCTTTCTGTAAGACTTAAGGAGGTTTAGTTTAATTACCTCCCATCACGAAGAGCTTTCTGAAATATAAAATGGATATTTTGTAGATTTTTCGTGGCCTGCAAGTGCTTGAAATTAAGTTTATAGGTGCATGGTGCAGGAGTTGAGGAGGGAATTGAAGCGGGAATGGGAGATGTTAGTATTTTAGGATACAAAGTGGTTATGAGTTTCGAGAGTGAGATCGGGGCTTTGGATCCGGAGTAGGGGCATGCCACTATAAATATATTGCAACCAGTGTTTAAAGAACCAGATCAGGTGCCTAAACTGGTCAGCCACTGGCTCCCAGTCGACCTGGTGAACCAATTGTCTCGGGTTGGTACGACCTGTTTGGCCACACTGAGCTGGCCAAAAAATTTCAGAAGATATTTAAAAATGATAAAAATAAAAATAAGTTCATTTTGGAAAACACTTGATGAATTTGTTGTATTTTGACTAAATTATCCAAAAATATGAGAACACTGAGAGTCTGGTTCCTTTCTGAGTACCACACAGTCATTTCATGGTCTAAAATGCAGTAAATCTTTTTTAAAACAAAGAGAGGCGAAAACAATAAAATCGAAACTTTACCTAACAAAAATACAATATCAGTACAGTTTGAACCTTTTCTAAAAATAAATTAACATAATATTTATACTAATTTGGATTTTGTCAAAATTATTCAAGAAAACCCTAAATGGTGACAAAAAAAATTGAAATAAAACTTATCTAGCACCCTGCCTAACAGATACTAGAAAATAAATTATCATACCTTTTTTTTTTTTAAAAAAAACCAAACATTTAAGGAAGCCCCTAAGTTGAGACAAATAAATTTAAATAAATACAAGTATTATTTTTTTGAAACTAAATAAATACAAGTATTATTCAAAAACTATCTAAAACCCCATCCAACATAACCTAGAACTTAATTTTAGAAAAATTTAACTTTGTAATATTACAAATATTTCTTATTTTTTTTTGAAATTTTTTAGGATATAAAATGAATGCATATATTATGAAAACCCTAATTAAAACAACCTGGAACCAAAAATAATAAAATAATATTTCCGCAAAATTGATTTCCTTGAAATTTTTGAGTTATACCCTAAATCAAAACAAAAAATTAAATAAAATATAAATATTATTAAAAATGATCTAAACCATACCTAAGGAACTAAGAAAAAATTCTTCAAAAAACTAATTTGTGAGAAACAAAAAAAAACTAAGAAATCTACAAAAATACATAAGGTCAAGTATTCAAAATAAGAAAAATGATTCATATTATAGAATGTGTAAATCATGATTAAAATAAAAAATACTATTGGGATCACGTGCGTTGCACGTAGAAATGAAATCTACAATCTCATAAATAACTACGTGAATATGCAATCAAGAGTATGTAGATATGTTGCAAGCATTTATGTAAATAATTTCGTAAATTTGTGATGGAATAATATATTTTTTTTTGAGAAAGTTAACAATTGTATTGCTAAAAGAAAGAAATGTACATCAGTAAGAGTTGAGGGTACCCACAGGCCGGGTCTCTCCACCAAAAAAATAGGCCACCTAACTGTGATCCTGTACAAAAAATGGAGGGCTTATAACACACGCCTAATTACAAGAGATATACAGTGCAAAAGAAATAGAAAGTGCACCCACAGAGGTCTAGAGCAAAAAAGGAGATGGACCAGCGATAAAACCATAGTCTAAGCAGCTCATCAGAGGGTTGCGACTATACGAGGGCTTCAGCTTTTGTCCGAGCACCGTCCTTAGCCAGAAGATCTGCGAAGTTGTTCGACGTCCTCCAAATATGTGTCCACGAGATGTCTTATCCTTGCAAATATGCTCAATTTCGTCAAAAATATGGGCGAGGTACCAAGGAGGAGTGGCCTTTCTAGAGGCCCAAGAAATAATGTTTTTGGCATCCCCCTCGACGAACAACTGAGAACCCCAGGATTGGTGGAACTTCTTAAGACCCAATAAGAGAGTCATAGCCTTTGCAAACTAAGAGGCTGTGTGGTTTAGGTGCTCTGAGTAAGAGGCCAAAATATTGCCATTGTGGTCATGAAGGAGCCCTCCGGCTCTAGCTGGGCCTGAGTTACCCAGTGAGCATCCGTCGCAATTGAGCTTGATGATGCCATCAGGGGGAGGCAACCAGCGGTTGGCTCTTGATACCCGAGGGGGTACAAGGTGTATGATATTCTCCCAGTCATGAAGGTCGATGGAATAATATATTGATAGGCCTTAAGCGATCACCTAAATAATTACATGATTTTCCAATGGGAAATTGCATTACATGTAAAATATATTTATAATATTTATCTATGACTCTAATTATATTTACATAATTGTTTTAATATTCATTATAATATCACTATCCTATTATTAATGTTGTTTCTAGTATTACTAAAAAACAGTTAACGATAACAATTTAAATTATTATCCTAACTTTAAATTAATTATAATAAATTCATATAATTTTATTTAATTATTTCTAATGTTAATAATTTTATATAATTTTCATAATTACTACATTAATATTAATTAAATTGAGATAAAAATAAAAACATTTTGGAATATTTATAATTAGAAACATATAAATATGATATTAAGAGAAAATCATATTTACTTTGTTATTACTTTATTAGTAATATGTTATAACTACAAAAGACATACTTTGGTTAAATTGAATATGATATTAAGAGAAAATTACGTCGTTATTACTTTATTAGTAATATGTTATAACTACAAAAGACAT